TAATTCAACCCGGATGTGCACGCCCACATAAGTTTTTTTGTCATAGGTGAATTCATATTCAAAGTGTCTAGTTGTATTCCAAATATCAAGGTTCTACATCAAATAGATCATAAGATATACATATACCAAGCTCAAAAAGATGCAAATATTGTAAAAAAAAAACTCAAATTTAAAAAAATCACGAATTTCAATTTTGCTTTAAAATAACGATTATTATATATCTATGTAAAGTGCATGAGAAGCACATTAGGAAACCGAAAAAATTAACCCTCTAGGTTAATTAGGTCACGTGCTAGAGCAGTCCAAATTTGCGAATTTGGCTTTTTACGGATAGCTATAAAACTGGAAGTACATGTCGGAGGTCAAAGGTCAAAGTATCAAATGATAGCCAAGGTCAATGACCTTTGACCCTATGAAGGTCAAGGTCATCAAAGGTCAAGGTCACATGGTGTGATCGTTTAACGCATGAAAAAATTTCAACCGGAAGTTGCAAAAAAGCAAAAGCGAAATTCAAAATTCGGCTCCCAATGTTTTTTGCGCAATCGATTGCAGAATACATTCACATCAAATTTGAGCATATCAACATTTACCCTGAGGCCCCATTTTGAGTTTTACAAAAGTGTGTTTTTTCAATATGGCGGCCAAAGTATCACTTCCGGTCTGGATTTTATTTTCTTCGTTTTTTTGTATTAGCATTTACTTACGATCAGCATAAATTTCGTTGACCTATTTCAATTACACCGGAAGTTATTCGACCGGAAATGGATTGTACTTTCAATTGATTCCCCGTTTAAAACCGGAAGTAAAATTAAATATTTGACAACTACATATTATTTGCTTTGGTGATGTCCCTTTGCATACTAAATTTCAGATCAATCGATGCAAAAGCAAAAAAGTTGCAAAAAAATTGAAAAATTTGATCGAAAAAAGTGAGCGACGAATTTTCGATTTTCGTAATTTTTCAAGTGCTATCAGGTCAGAAATTACAGGTAGATTGTAAAAATGAAAACCCGAAGAAAATTGATGCAAAAATACGCCTTCTAGAGCCGATTTTCGACTTTTTGCACATGTTGAACTGTGGCACTTCCGGTTTTGCAAAAATGTTCCAATTTATATTTATGCACATCGTCTCCTATATAGAAGGTCTATGAAATTTGAAACGTACCTGCAACTACTGCAGTCTAAGCTCAGGAAGGTGTGGACGAAACGAAAAAAAAAAAAAAAAAAAAAAAAAAAAAAAAAAAAGAATTGACATTTCGATAACAAACTGGGACTTTGCTGAAAGCAAAGTCCCACAAAAAAAAAAAAAAAAAAAAGAATTGACATTTCGATAACAAACTGGGAATATATGGAATATAATTACATTTGTGTAGTCTGGAAACTATCGTCATTGAGTTACGTCCCCGTGTTCAATTATAGGAATATCAGAGTTACTTCCCATATTAGGCCTTTTTAATCGTGACTTTGTTGAAGCAAGCCACTTTTCAAAGGCCTAAAGAAATTTGAATTTTGATTGTATTAATTTAATTAATTTATATTTCTCCTAGGATAGTTTATGGAATGTATGATCAAGTGTCATACTGCACATAGAACTTAAGTCTTAAGATAGCAATCAAGTTTATAATTTGAATTTAATTAGGCACGAAGCCAACACGTGGTTTTGTTGGCAACTAAAAACAGTTCGCTACAGGTCATTTCAACATGGCTTGTTCAACAAAGCAGAGTATCAGAATATTTGGTACCAGCCACATCAAGCGGTTATCACATTATATAGATTTGAACATGTCCCTAAATAATTTCTCTCTAGATGAAGACAGTTTTGATGTGCATTGGAAAGGTTACGGCGGTCTGAAATTACGTAACGACGAACCGTCTTTACAAGTATAAGACATCATGAAGGGATCCGATTTGGTTCTATTGCAACTCGGTTCCAATGATCTCTGTAATGTCGGCTATAGCCCAGTCATATTAGCCAGAGATATTCTGTCTTTTGGTCAGTTCTTGAGAGATGGTTTGGGAGTTAAATGTGTGGTTATCAGCCAGCTTTTTCCAAGGCGTAATATGCCTGATTCTAATTATAATAATCGGGTAATAGCCACAAACGTTGCCATTTCCGAGAGGTTAGCGAGAGGAAACTATGAAAATATTTTTTTGTGGAAACACCGAGTTGGGTTGTGGAATCCAAATGTGGACCTATACTGTCCTGATGGCATCCATTTAAATATTTCAGAGGGGTATCCCTCGTCAGTTTGCGTGACGCTATTAGACGGTACCGACCTCGTCAGTAGCCCGAATTCCCGGTTAACTTACTAAAATTAATAAGGGGTTGGTGAGCAGTCCTTTCAACGTTAGGTTGGTGGACCGTTTCGCCCTATACCTCTTTTTGCTTCCGAGATTGTCTTCGTTTAGGTTTTCCACATTCCCACTGCTTATGACCTCCATTGGTCCGTTGTTTCACCCCCGGTGTTAATTTGGCAATCCACTTTGCCATGATGCCGACAATGCACATTGAACTCTTTGGATGGATTCGTATAGCCATGGTGCCGACGATGTAGCAATACACACTTTACTTTTTGTGTGGCTTTTGAGAGCCATGGTGCCGACAATGCACACTGCACTCTTTTGATGGCTTTTTATAGCCATGGTGCCGACAATGCACACTGTACTCTTTGATGGCGCTTTATAGCCATGGTGCCGACAATGCACACTGCGCTCTTTTGATGGCTTTTTATAGCCATGGTGCCGACAATGCACACTGTACTCTTTGATGGCTTTTTATAGCCATGGTGCCGACAATGCACACTGTACTCTTTGATGGCGCTTTATAGCCATGGTGCCGACAATGCACACTGCACTCTTTTGATGGCTTTTTATAGACATGGTGCCGACAATGCACACTGTACTCTTTGATGACGCTTTATAGCCATGGTGCCGACAATGCACACTGTACTCTTTTGATGGCGTTTTATAGCCACGGTGCCGAGAATGCACACTGAATGCACACTGAACCCTTTTGATGGTTTTTGATAGCCATAGTGCCGAGAATGCACACTGTACTCTTTTTGAGTATGTTTATCCTTGGTGCATATACTGCACGCCGTTTTTGTTAGATACCAAATACCACCAGAAACATGGATTCTCTTGAAGTCATGTGGGCGCAAATCCAGTTGCAGATATGGCGGTGTGGATTCTTTTACTAAGGCCACAATGCTGATTGTGTACATCGGTGCATCGTTTCTCTTCAAGAGAATTCATGCTGAAATCAACTATTTTTCAGAAGTATCTAGATGTCGGCACCAACCAATCCAAGAGTTTCTAAAAGGAAATCCAGATTACCTTTGAGTACTAATTCTAAGAAGAAAAGGTCAAATGGTGGATCTAGTAACATCGCTGAAGGATCTAGTAGTTCTGTTGGTGGATCTACAGTAGATGATGGTGGACTTCATGTATGCAGTCTCTCCCAAGAAGCCGAGGATAGAATTGTGGATAAACTCTTTAATAAACTTTCAAACCATGGTCTTCTTCAAACTTTGGCAGTTGGTGAAGTGGTATCCAATCAACAAGCGGGGGCTATATCATCTGAAGATATACCGTCTACCCTATCTTCGGATGGGAATATATCAGGTACTTCTGATTTGAGTATTGGGAACAATCCCTCTACTTCTAACCCTATATTTTCTTATAATCTGGGTATATCTGCCCATGTGTCAGATAAGCTCAAATCCTGTATTTGGCAGAAAGTTTTTGTAGAATTTTCCTCGTTATTGCCTGAAGGACCATCTGAAGGATTCAATATCGATATTGAAAACTCTGGAAATGACAAACTTCTAAAGATTGTTTCAAAACCTAAGTCAAAGGTGCTAAACATAGAAAATTGGCTCAAATCATTCCACATTTTCATGGATATATATTTGCAGAAATATCAAAATTCGTATTCGGGGCTTTTAGCCTATTCTGCACTCATACAGGATTTGAGTAAATCTTATGGCCAAAAGGCATTTTTATTTTATGATTCATCTTTTAGAAATCACATGCAGTCTCAGCCACTTCAGTGGGGAATTATGCATTCTGAACTTTGGCTGCGTGCCACAACACTTTACGGAGCCCGTTCTCAAAATATCGAACCTCCAAAGCAAAAACGTATGTGTTACGCCTTTAATCAGAAAAACTGTTGTACGCGTACAAAATGTACGTACAATCATCTCTGTCTGAAGTGTGGTGGCAAGCATCCTCGTTTTAGGTGTTTTAGAACAGATGTATCTAAGAGTTTTAATCAGGACGATTCTGAACGAATCCAATCTTCGAATAATTCCTTTCGTGCCTCTCGCAAACAAAACACACAGCCACAGGCTACCAACGCCGATAAATCCTCATAAATTGTATAATGTTCTTGATGGTTATGATTCTATAGAACTTCCTAGTGCGTGGTTTCCAGGAAGGTTTTCGGATTCCGTTTAATGGCGAAAGAAAATTCCGTGTGTCTAAAAATCATAATTCTTGTCATCAAAATGAAGAGGCATTCGTTCAGAAATTAGAAAAAGAGTCTTTTGCTGGTCGGATTAGGGGCCCCTTTTCAGCACCTCCCTTTAAGAGTATTATTTGTTCACCTCTTGGTCTCGTTCCGAAGTCATCTAGTGCAGACGGAAAACTCTCCTATAGAGTCATTCACGATCTTTCATTTCCGAATGGTAACTCGATTAATTCCTTCATTGACAAATGCTTCACGGAAGTTGCATACGATTCTATCGATGACGTTATTTCTATTGTCAAAATGTTGGGCCGAGGGTGTCTCATGGCCAAAAGCGATATTCTCGATGCCTATCGTCAGATACCAATTCATCCCTCCGATTACGAGTTACTGGGTTTCACCATTCAAAATGGCAAAGATTTAAAATATTATTTTGATATGTGTCTGCCCATGGGTTTAAGTGCAAGTTGTCAGATCTTTGAACGGTTTAGTTCCGCTTTGCACTGGTTTATGACCAATAAACATGGTGCCCATGTTAGCCATATGATAGACGATTTCTTTCTAGCTGGTCCAGCAGGATCAGAATTGTGTTTGCAGTCCCTTAATAACTTTTCCTCTCTTGCGGCATCTATTGGACTGCCTCTTAAACCTGAAAAAACTGTATGGCCCACAACGAGACTTACGATCTATGGTATTGAAATAGACTCCGATTTAATGTTAAGTCGCCTCCCACCTGAAAAGGTAATTAAAATTCGTGAAATGTTATTACGTTTTAAAGTCAGAAAAAAAGTGTCACTCCGTGAACTCCAAAGCCTAATAGGACTCCTCAATTTTGCTGCGTCTGTTGTGGTTCCTGGTCGTGCGTTTTTAAGGCGTTTAATTGATTTAACCAGAGGTATATCAAAACCTCATTATCAAATTCGTCTGAATAAGGATGCAAGATTAGACTTACATGCTTGGTTAACTTTTATAGACAATTGTAACGGAAAATGTATGTTTCTGAACGACAATTGGTTATCTTCAGATACTATCAAATTGTATACAGACGCCGCGTCGACCAAAGGGTTCGCGGCAGTTTTCGGTTCTCGATGGTTCGCTTTTCCTTGGTCCAATGAATTGAGATTTATGCACATCAATGCCATGGAGCTGTTTCCCATAATAGTTGCTATGGAAACGTGGGGAGCATTAATGAAAAATCACAAAATTCTTTTTCTAACCGATAACGAAAGCACCAAGTTTGTCATAAATAAAATGTCCTCTAAGTGTCCGCTAATGATGCGCCTCGTTCGCAGATTAGTTATTACTACCCTTACTCATAATATTGTTTTTAAATCAACACATCCCCGGGAAAATAAATACTTTGAGTGACTCTTTATCTCGTTTGATGTTTCAGAAAGCCAGGGAAATAGCACCTTATTTGGATTCGGAGCCTTTTCCCGTTCCACTGGAGTTTTTGTCGGTTTAGATGGAGTCGCTTGTAAAATCCTGGAATCTGCAATGTCACCGTCGACATTGACCTCTTACAAAAATTATTGGTTGAAATTTACTCAATTTTGTCATCATAGAAATTATCCTACACTGTTGCCGATTACTCAGATTTGTTTGATAAATTTTTTGGCATTTTTATTTGATTCTGGGTATGCTCCCAGCACCATTGCCTCTTCAGCATCTGCTATAGGGTATGTGCATAAATTATCTTCTCTCGAAAATCCGTCCGATTCCTTTTTGGTTAGGAAATTTATCAAAGGTGCCCAAAATTTGAAACCCTCTACAGATAGTCGACTTCCAATTACTAAGGGATTGCTGAAGCGTTTGGTAGGATAATAGTCGTATCCCTACATTCTCACCAAATTTTGATTAGAGCCATCTTTACTCTCGCATTTTCAGCCTTTCTTCTTATGGGTGAAATATGCTTGAAATCAAACAAGGATCCATCCTTTGTAATTCAAGTCTCGGATGTTCAATTTGAGTATACAGGTGATAAACCTGTTGGTTTAAAACTTAATTTACGTAACTTTAAGCATAAAAAATCAACATCTCCTGTGTGCATTCATATATCAGCAATGTCTGGCGATTCAAGTTTATGCCCAATTATCTGTTTACATGCTTATCTAATTTTATGTCCTCATGAAACTGGCCCACTTTTTCAATTAATGGATGGATCTCCAATTTCGTATTCTTTCATAACTAAAAAACTGAGAAATATTTTAGAATTCTTGAATTTGAATCCTAAGCTTTACAAATCGCATTCGTTTAGAATTGGCGCCGCGAGTAGTGCATTTATTGACGGTCATTCAGAGGACGCCATTCGTAGGTTCGGCCGGTGGAATTCATCAGCAGTACGAAATTATATTCGTGTTCCTAATCTTTGTGTATGAGTTTTGCATTGTAGTCTCAAGTGCCAGGGTTAGCCTGAACTTTTGAATATATTAATAGTTTTTAAGTTTGTTAATGTGTCAATAAGTTCCAAAGCTTTTACGTCAGATCGGAAGGTTAGTCACAATATTCCATTTTGAAGGAAAGCTTTGTTCCACAATATGTGGGTAGCGTAATGCAATTCAGTTAATGTTATGTGGAATTTGTATCAATGCGTTCGCTCAGCGCAAGCTTTGTAGGGTCTCTTTGCATTACGTATGAGCACAGGTTTCTGAGTAAAATATCAGTTTTTCCTGGGTGGCATCGAGGTCCAGTGATCAAAGGTATTCCGCTAACATTGTTGTAGGCATATGTTTAGACGCTATAATATTTTATTTAGATTTTAACACATTTTGTTATTGATGTTTTAAATGATTTACTACTTATGGGTTTGAATAATTGCATCCTTTAAGACGTCAGCGCGAGGCTGGTCATTAGGGTCAAGATCTGTTTTGGTCAAACTGTATCGCGTGTGTGTTTTGAGTTTTTTGCGGACCTTGGATGGGTGGGTCTTCACGTTAACGTGATGACTTTGGCGGAATTTTATCTCCCATCTTTTCGATGGCTTTGTATATATTTTAAATTCTTTTGTTATATTCAAATTGCATTACAATTTATTTGCATATTGTTATCGTCATTTATCTTAAATTTGAATAAATGACATTTACGCAATTTGTAGTTTAAGATTTGCCATCTCAAACGAGCAAGGTCCGCAAAACTCTTGTTTGCATAGGGGGTTGGAAGCTACACAAATACATAATATGGAATATATACATTTGTGTAGTCTGGAAACTATCGTTATTGAGTTACGTCCCCGTGTTCAATTATAGGAATATCAGAGTTACTTCCCATATTAGGCCTTTTTAATCGTGACTTTGTTGAAGCAAGCCACTTTTCAAAGGCCTAAAGAAATTTGAATTTTGATTGCCGCCCACCTCCCCTCCTTCACCTCTGTAAATGCGTTAATGAATTATATGTTTATTAATTATGTATGAGTTGTTTAGTATCTAGTTTCGGTTGTAAGTAAATATGTTATCTAATGCTTAGTGTAGTATAAGATAAGCTTATTTCAGTTACATGTTGGCGGAATTTTATCTCCCATCTTTTCGATGGCTTTGTATATATTTTAAATTCTTTTGTTATATTCAAATTGCATTACGCAATTTGTATTATTGCATTACGCAATTTGTAGTTTAAGATTTGCCATCTCAAACGAGCAAGGTCCGCAAAACTCTTGTTTGCATAGGGGGTTGGAAGCTACACAAAAACATATTTAGTTCTGAATAGAGTAATACACGAAGTTGGTCAGTTGGAGGTCAACAATAGCACACAGGTTAAAATTGTAAAATATTTAAATCTAATACTTGTTTACAACAATATAAACGTGTTTACTGATGCATACAGATAAGAAGCTACACAAACAATGAAATATTTATCATACTCTACTTCTCGGTCATATCAATATTTATGACGTGATATCGATAATTCGATCTTTGTTTTGTAGAGAAAATGGATTTATACGCTAAATCACCAATATTTCAATATCCTTTGTGGCGGTGATGAAGTACGCATTTGGTACAATAGCTGAAGGTATGTACGTCAGAAATAGGTCAGACGGAAAGTACTTCAACTTCACAAGACTAGAACGAGACCAGAAGTCCATTTGGGGTGCCTGCGTGACATCTTCTTAGAAGCTCATGACTCGCTTCAGCAGTGACTGTAAAGATTTCGGCTTTACTACAAGCTTGAAAAAAAACACAAGTCATTGAACATAATGTTGATTAATGAACATAAACTGGATTTCGTCCATGGAGTTGTTTATCTTGGCACAACCAGCTCAGCACGCTCTCGTCCTGACTCAGAGCTCAGGCATCTACCTGTATGATACGATTGTTACCCCACGCTGTATCAGAAAACACCCATCAACTCAAATATTCTTCCGAGACTGAGGGATGCCTATATGAACCAGGATGGGAGATAATAAACTGCCTTATTTGAGACATCACCTAAATATCAAAGAAGTATGTGCTAAGACACAGTTTATTCGGACACAGCTTTTCACCACACTATATATTGATTTTTAAGATACGGCCATTAAAACATGATTGAAATTTAGAGAAAATTGATTTATACGTTAAATCACCAATATTTGAATTGTCGTGGGTTCCGATTTCGATCGGCGTGTGAAAGTCCGGTGACCTTGAATAAGTCATCTTCACTTAAATGGAGATTGTGAATAGTTCTTGCTGATTGTCAGGTTCTTCATCTTGAAATCCAATCTGGAGATGCTTGTTTTTCTTCTGTTCAGCACTGAAGCCAATGATTACCATTGGGACACTGTGTACTTAACATCGACCGGAGGGATTTGTCGTACTGCCAATGGAACAACATCATCGACGCCCTCTTCGGATCTTTCCCATTCTACACGGAGTTTAGTACAGTGACCACAACCACCACAAGGCAACTTGTTGATCGACACCACCTATGTAACAG